TCTGGTTTCTGACTAAATGAAATACGCAAAGTACATTTTCTAACATGTCTTTTATAAAAAGATTTTAAGTATGTTAAAGGTGCATCTTTAGTTAAGTCAAGTTAATATTTTTTGCATAATATCACGACTTGTATATTGTAATAGCATTTCACACAAATAAAATATAAAAAATCTTATTTCATCTAAAAGTAATTGAAAATTTAAAATTTTGGATGGTTTGATTTACACATCCCTGCTCTTTAACTAATTTTAATTTTATTCCTAATACCTAGGAAAAGTGGCAATCTTATTGTGCATTAATAGAAAAATATATATATTTAGTGTAGAAATGTTCGGAAGTAAAACACCTCCACAGGTATCGTCATTCATCGCTTAGTGTTAAGAACAGAGTTTAGCAAATTGAACACACCCATGGACATAGAGTTTTTGTAAATGGGGCACGAGCTCCGTTATTGTTTATGACTTTGTAGGGAAACCTGGAGCTAAGTTGATCGTTAGGGCCAGGACATTGGTCTAGTTGGCCTCTGCTGTTCCATAAGTTTAATTTCTTGTTTCTTTCGTTGTACAATTGAATGACATAGATTTGGTTTGTTCTGTTTTCCATTAAATAGCACAACAGTTGTCTTTACTGTTGAGCTATGAGAAAAACCAACAGTTACTAATATAAATTAGATTGATTGATTGAATATTTTTAACGTCCCTTTTGAGAATTTTTCACTCATATGGAGACGTCACCGTATACCAGAGAAGGGCTTCAAATTTAGACCTACACTCGGCACTCAGGGCCATTGAGCACTGAGGGTTTTCTATCGTACCAACACCTACCGTGACACGGGAACTATTTTTTAAGGTCATATCCTAAGGGCCTGTAACTTTCAATTCTAGTGCTGAGTGCTTGGCGAAGGAACAGCCATTACCTATGTTTACGTCTTAGGTTTGAGCAGCGCCGCGATCGAAATCGAACCCCAGCGTCTCGCTAATTAAGCGAACGCTCTACCACTAGGCTATCTTGACCGGTGCTAAATTATATGTTAAGGGTTTAATCGTTAGCTGAGCAGTTCCTGGTGAGGAAAAAATGCTAGTCTCTGTTGTTTGCTGTGTTGTAGTTTTCATTTCATCAACACTTCGTACAAATACTGAAATAGATCCAACATAATATTTTACAATTATTGAATGTCATCGCAAATTAAATAGCTCATTGATTAACAGTGAGGTAAATCTTTAAGATATGATTGACAGGGGTAAACTGTTGCTATTTCGGATATCTTTATAGAACTGTATAAACTTAATTATATTATTCTTGAAATTTTGAAGAATTCTACGATTTAAACTCTGCAAACAAAAGGGACCCTTTAGATATTGCCAGACTGATATATGTCTTGAGAAGTTGCAATACTCATTACATTTATTGTGTTAATATAGAGGAGGGAAAACTTAAACGGCAAATCACAACACATCTTTTTAGTCAACCGTAAAAAAAAAATTCATATGATGATGTGGTGTTTTTCTTTTCGCTTAGAAAAAAAATTTAGGTTTTCTATGGAAATGTAGTTTACAAAAAAAACAAATGTATGTGAAAATGTCTCGAGTGATTGCAAATCATACTAAAGCATAAAGTTGTGTAGTTTATAAACAGACAATTTAAGTGAAAACCCCACCTTAGTATCAGATGTGAAGAATAGATAAATAAATAAAGTAAATCCGACCTGGGTATTAACATCTTACTCTCAATACTGAGGGATCCATTCTTTATATTAAAGGTATTTGGACAATAAACATTTCTATTGTATAAATAATGCTTTCCAACTCTTCGGTTAATGTCCTTCTCTGAGAGGATTCACACTGGTATAGCTGGTTGTCCAAGTTCCAAATCAATTTATTAAAATGGATGATAGGATGAATTGTATCCAGATGTTATATTATACCCATTTCATGGCAACTGATCCCACCTTCGATGTTTTGGAGGTTCGTGTTTGCTCTGCTCCTATTCTGTATTGTTCAATAGACTTTTGATCGTGAATACTGTTCGTTATCTCCATATGTTTCCATAAAAAGAGGGTATCTAGTGCATTTCAATGATACTTTCTCGCAAGATCTGATTGTTCCTGGAAAAAAAATGGAATAAAGCAAATGAAAACATTGACAATAAACAGGTCGGAGAGAATACTCGAAATCGGGTATTATCCTTGAAATCGGGTATAATACGCGATATTGGGGTATCGTAGAATCCGCGAAATCGGGTATTCCGTGCAACTTTCACTAAGAAGAGGAAAATACAGAAACGGCGCATGATGTCAGTTAGCTTGGTATGTACCTCAGTCTAACTGAAGTTTATTTTCATAAAACTCCATATACAGGATTTTCAAGTAAACTTAAAAAAACGCGACTAACATGGTTGGGGTAGCAAAAATGACACAAAGGCGACATTATTTTCGGTGCAGTTATTAAAAACAGATATCTTCATTATATTTTTGATTGTTTCCCAATAGTCTCGTCACTTAGCTAAATTTCTAAACGTGTTCATTGTTCAAACAATGTAAAACTTTTAAGAAAACAAACAACTAACGTTGCGTTATTTATTTTGTGTCAAAAATGTATGGCGTCTCCACTGTATACAAAGTGCTAATCGAAAATCTACTTGATTTGGATCACTTGCTATATTGCTTTGGGTACTCTGATGCATTATGGGTAAAAAAGAAAATTCTGCAGGCAAAATATGGGTAAAACTAACTTTAAGAAATTAGAAAACTTATTAAACCTTTATAGAATCAGTGTAAATTTATTTGAGAAAATTTTTAAGTTTAAACATGTTAGAAATTCGATACCATTCTCATTTACTAAATTAAAATGGGATTTTCGCTCATTTTGAATTATTTCAATTGTTCTTAATTTTTTCAAACTATATTCTGTTGTAAAAGTTATTGTATCTTTGTTTTCGCCTCAATTCACCCACGAAACATCATCTGATTTCTATAGATTACGCTTTTTAGAGAAATTGGGCTATTCTTGTTTTGAGTGAATGCTATACTATGTTTGCAACATATTTTTGCGATGGCTATACTTTTTTCGGATCCTTTTTGTGATTTGCATGAAATTAAGATATATTGTTTTTTGATAAAATTATCGCGATTTAAACAGTTTTGAAAAAGGTATTGGAATTTATTAGCACTAGAGAAACATTTATCAGTCGAAAGAAGTTAAACAGAAATAAATAAATATAGAACTTGATGAAATGTGCTATCATTGCTGGTGTTTGTGCGATACTTGATTTGCGTTTTGTCACGATTGATACAGAAATGCTATGTTTGATTTGAGAAGAATACTTCTTGAAGAATGAAGGCGTATATAGGGGGAGTATAATCCAAAGACACTGTCTCAAGTTTATGTCATTAAATAACTTATTGATAAATACACGTAATATATTTTTACTTATGTTTTAAAGGTATGTAAAACGGAAAAAAGGGCTTCACACACTATTCGAATTTTTTCCAAAGCTCATGATAGGCGTAAGACTGAATGCGTTAACCACGTTCTTGTTGTTTGTGTGTCAGTTTGCTTAAAAAGAAACGAATTTGTTGAGACAAATAAGGTTTTTCAACCTATCATTTAATTTATCTTGGGTCGTTTTTTTTTTTTTTTGGCTTACTTCTTTCACCCAACTTTTATACCTTTGTTTTTATACTAAATTTGATTATGAAATGTTCCGTTCACTTGATCAATACATAGAGCTCACAGCGGATGTGACCGATCAACAAGGGATGCTTACTCCTCCAAGCACCCGTTCCAATCTCTGGATCTCTGGTATTCCGGAGGGGTCCGTATTTATGCCCTACCCACATGTTTGTATTGTTTGTATATTTTTCGACATAAATCAATGCTCATTATCCTCACTTTTTTTTCATTTCAGAAATATTCAACTTTTTGATAGAATGGGTTCAGAAGCCGTTAAAAAAACACAATGCATTTACTTTTCCGTAATTTTAACACAATACTTCGAATAGAAACCTGGTCCGTTCATATTCAAAAATAAATCTTTATAGCTAGAATCATTTAATATAAACGTACCCCTTTTTCGACTAAATAAGTCTAAAAACAATTTTCAATCAATATGTCTTTCAGAACAATATATGAATCAAATATGTTGAAGATGACATTACCGACAACATAATTTTAGAAAAATAAAACTTTTCCGTCATAGAGAGGGTGATTGTCCTCGCCTTGTACACTTTTTTCTCTCTTTATAAATCTATGATAATGAGATTATAATGCAACTTTTGTAATATTTCACCTATTTTCACACTATCATAAGACATCAAAACTTTAAACTAAGAAACTGAAACAGAATCTATGAAGATAAAAGTTTAATCAAAATTTGGGATTATATCCCCATAGACAGATCCAGAAAAGCGGATAAAGGTCAGGGGATCAAGACCTGATAATTTTTTCAAATTCACTAAAATTTAAGAATATTAAAGTAACCATATCAAAATAACTCCCCCCCCTCCCTCCTTCCCAAGAAACGCAAACTCCTAACAGTCAGTCTACGATAAAAGAATATACACTGTAGTTACGGAAGTTCATTGATTTTCAGGGATATGTTACGATTTCTATGAAAAAAAGATCCATGCATTTCTTTGAGAAATGTGGTAACCGTTAGTTTTCTTTTTATTACATTAATTTTTTTTAAATATTTCATGCAATCTCTTTTTAACGCTTATTTGGCTGAATTGAAATTAGTAAATGAACGAAGCGGCATTAAGATTTGAAGTTGAATGCGTTTTAATTAATCATTAAATTATCAAATCAAAACTTTGAATGCATATATATACCACTATATATTTACAAAACCATGTGTATATGTAAGTCTAAGAGTTGAAATCGATCTTTAAAATTTTACAATAGTTTATGTAAATTGGTGAGCAACATGAAAATTCTTAATTTGGTATGTTTTTGTTGATGAATGACTGTCATAAGTTGATAGGAAAAATGATAATACATAT